TGAACAGTCTTTCAAGAAAGATTGAATCACCGAGTCTCGAGTAGCTTACCAAAAAGCCGATACAGAATTTACTTGAAACTCAACTTCTTTTTCTCTCATGATCAATGCTTTGTTCCAGGATACAACTAAAATAAATAATAAATTTAAATCGCCTTGCAACGATTGAATTGAAACATACAGAATACCGCATATATACATCACACCAACCACCACAGCCTATCGGTCCTCACATTTATAGGTTTGAGTTGCTGATTGCTATCTTGAGCGTTCCGTAGATAATTTTTGTCCCGCAACAATGATATCTTCCAGACAGCTACCAATATCCTGAAAGATTTATCCTTTACCTTTTATACCACCAGAAAGAGATCCATCTTAGAAAACCCTTCTCCTAAAGTTCCGAGTAATTGCTTTATATGATCGCATTAGCAGTCCAACTCCGATTCCAACTCCAACGCACATCCCAGGGCCAATTCCAACACCAACCCTAAGACCAGCATTAAACCATGAAAGCTGACCATCCTCACCAGCATACATATCTTCATAGTAACTGTGTTCAATTTTCCCATCCTAGTCATAATCTTCAAGCCCGGCTCCTGCATAAACAAAAAGAACAACATCCGATGAGAGGAAACACAAAAATGTACAAATTCAGTAACCACAAAAAGGCCCAAAGTAGTTTTCTAAAAATCTGCCAGAAGAGTATATCCGTTGTCATTCTTTTTCATTGTCATAACAGGAAGCTGATGCCGTTATGCTTCTGGGACTTGACAAAAAAAATAAATTTCCCCCTTAAAGCCCTCAAAATTGAATCTAGGAGACAAACTGGGGTGGAAAAGTATAAACACCTTAAACTGCTCCACTTAATTAACAAGCAGCTGCAAGGACTTGGAGTTACAAATTAAGAATCGAATCTTCATTATAATGACACAGACAACAATAATCCTTTTCTAAGGAAAAAGATAAAGCAACAAAATTGTATACCTAAAAGCATGTGCATATTGCATGCATATCTGTGGCATCTACTCTCTGATACCAGAATAAACCTGCCAGATCCCACCATGTACATACAAGTACAACACAAAGCCGGCAACATTACAATTCAACTCAGCATAATTATAAAAGCAATAACATTCTTCATGTACTAAGGCCATAACTAACATATCTGCTGTAAGATTTCTAAAACAATCAATGACTGTCACAGGATGCCACAATTCCCTTAACATGATGGAATCCAAAATCTACATTAATCACCGCTTAATTATGTTCCTTTTTCTGCAAAAATATAAGAGCTTGTAATGTATAGAATGATATATTTTTCATTGTTTATGTTAGATTTGCTTGACAAAAGTTTGTATTTGTAAAGTTTATTTGTGAGTTTTTAATATAACTAAACAATAATTTATATTTAATTTAATTGACATTGTAAAAATTTTGTGTTGAATATTTAAAAAAAAAAATCCAACACGATAAAAACATAACTATATGTACTAATTTTAGTAAAAAAAATTGTATTCACTGATAATATAGTTACGACCTTAATTTATTAATATTAACAATTAATTTTATATAATTTTTTCATTTAAATTATATATCATTTTAGAAACAAAAGTCAATTAATCAAATTTAAGAGTTTGTAATGAATATGTTTTAAAGATGAGGATTTGTCATTCATTTTGGTACACAGATTACTCTAAGGGTGTGTTTGATTGGGGGAATGTGAGATTCTCATGGGAATGGAATCCACATTCCCCCGTTTGGTTGGCCGGGAATGTCATTCCCGGTAATCTTACATTACCAATAGTGGATTTTTTTGGGTATATTACCGGGAATGTTATTACCTCCCTTTCCTTAGGTATTGTTGGATTACCGACGTTTTGGACTAAAATGCTTTTAGTTTTTTTCTTTCAAAAATATCATTATTCTGTCATTGAATAATAAAAATTCTATAAAGGTTAAATTACAAATTTATCCTTAAACTATTTTAGATTTACAAAAAAAAGTCTATAATTAAAATTTTATATGAAGTTCGGGGGTTAATATAAAATTTTACCCTTTCATTAAACCTTTTTATATTTTCAATTTTGTAAAAAAAATTATATAAATTTTATGAATTTAAATTTTTTAAATAAAATATATAAATATTTTCCAACTTGTTAATAAAATAAATATATATAATAAGGACAATTTGGTCAAATATACATTCCAATAATTTTTTATTCCTTTAACCAAACACGGTAATCTTACATTCCTGCTAAATCAACCAAACACAAAATACAACATTCCCAGTAATCTTATTCTCTGGTAATCTTTTATTCTCACTAGTAATCTTACATTACGTGAATCAAACGCACCCTAAGGACCTATTTGAACAAACTACTATAGTTCAAGGGTTTTAGTGGGGACCACACTCTTCTCAAGCCTAATTTGGAGACTTTGAGTTACATTACGTGCCGACGTTTCTTTGAATCAAGTACACTACTTGAAATATTTCAATGAAAAAAATGTGGGATTAATGCACTTTTTGCCCTAAAGTTTACTTATTTTTCGTAATTTGACACGAGACCTTTTTTTTTTAAAATAATGTTCCTAACGTTTACAAAAGTTACACATTTCATTACAAAAACGTTACTTTCGTTAAGAAAAACTGAGAGCTAATAGAGACGTGACATGTGACATTTTGATAAGGTTAATATTTTTTAAAATTAATCTGAGGTAAGTACAAGATAATATCTGTTTAAATATAATTATTTTTTGGTGCTCGAATTTGGGACATCAAAGAATAACAAAAATTTCTTTATCACCGAGATCGTTTGATTCGTGCATAAGTTATTTGAATTTAAGAAAAAAGGTAAATAACATATCGTATATCTCAATTTGTATTTTAGTCCCTAAAAGTTTTATTTAATTCTAAACTAACTTTAATTTATTTTAAATTTTATAATTTAGTCTAGTACTTTTTATTATTGATGATATTATTTTATGTTAAATAAAAACTATATTTAATGAAATCATATGTTTCTTTATATTTAATAAAAATTATGAACTATTAAAATAATTGTGGCCAATTCTTCGACCACAAGTGCTTTTTTTGAAAGAGAAAAAGCATTATATTCCAATTGCATCAATAAATATTACAGAACTAATACATTCAGGTTCGTCATAATAAAATTAACAAGGATTGGATTTTGACAAAGCCCATTGAGCAAGCGTATGAGCAACACGATTGGCATCTCTATTAAAATAATACACTTTCAGTTCCTTGCTAGCACCCAACAACAAACGAACTTTGTTGAGAAGCAATCCAATGGTTGACACGTCCTCTTCGTGGTTTACAAGCCTGTTTACGATTGTTATCGCATCCCCTTCTACGGTAGCATTTGTCCATCCGTTTTCAACAGCGAAATGTATCCCTTGTGTAAACGCTTCTGCCTCAGCCGATTCCGCCGTGAAAGGTTGTTCAATTTGCCTGCACATGCCACCTAAAAACCAGACCATTATGATCTCTTGCCACAATTCCAATTGCTGCGGCTCTTTCCATAGGTTTATAACCCCATATACGTTGATTTTTACCATATTCGTGTCGGGTCTTTTCTAGAAATGTCTTTTGTGATTACTTTGGTTCGTGCCATTTCATCCCTCCTCAACAATGTTTGGCAAATTGATTTCATCTTCATCCGTCGCGAGGCCAATATGACGACAGATTTTATGGCGAAGTCTAATACTTACTTGGATGGCTCTCCTATATTACTCCAAAGAGAAATCTCTGAACCTTCCTATTCTCGTCTGAGGGGAATCTAATGTAATGACTTTAGCCTCATTTCTATTGAAAAAATATAAAAATGTAGAAAATTTTATTGAATAAAAATAAATTTAAATAGACTTAATAAGATAATTTTATTCTGACTGCCGGAGGTCTTCCACGGAAGCTGCTCTTAACCTGGCGTTGGGGGCAGCTTACTATCCTATCTCCCCCTCACCCTATTACATATGGGAATAGGGTAAGCTATTTTTTTTCTATACACTAGTGTACAAACGTTGGTTAATAGACTAGCTCAAACTAAATAAATGTTTTTCTATTAATCTTAGACAAATATAATGTAGTATTTCTTTAATTATAACTTCTAATTATTTAACATTTAACGTTCATATCATGATATTCCTCGTGATTGAACTCGAGATCTTAAGGACTAATAATAATTTTATAAAATGTTTTTTATGTCCATCACACACATTTAGTTAAGTTCTTGCTTTAAAGATAGGCATGGCAAGCTATAGGGGTGATTATCGGGTGAGTATATCACGAGTTGAGCAGTGTTCGACTCGTGCTCGTTAAAAAAATTTATTGTTGGATTCGACTTGTTGCTCATTAAGCTCGTCACTCATTAAGCTCGATGCTCATTGCTCGTCTCGTTATTCGTTAAGCTCACTGAAATTTTTATCTTTAACTATAGATAAAATCTACTAATATTATATAAAATTTAATATAAACATAAATTAATAAATATAAAAAAATTATCAAAAGAATGTATGAAATAATTTTAAGTCTAAACTCTAAAGTAATGATCTATAAATATATTAAAATAATAAATAAGATTTAATTTTCGAGTGTATGAAATAAATTTTTAAAATAACTATTAAAAAGTTATATAATAAAATAGCGAGCTGCTTGATTACTTATCGAATAGAGTTGGATTTTATTTGAATCAATTCGTTAAGATTTTTAATCGAACTCAAATTCTAATCAAATTAAGTCATGAATTTTTTACTAAACTTTAATTAAATTAAATTCAAACCGCTCACGAACTACTCAACTCCATTAATCACCCGGGGTGGTTTGCACTAAAATCATTTTACCTGGTCGTGTTTTTAGTTCATTGATAAATCTTAAGCTTTCTCCGCTGGTTTTCACTTTCTTCGATAGTAGTTCAGTCTCTCTCTCTTTCTCTCTCTGTTCTCTGCATTGCCTACTTTTTGTTTCTCTCTCCTATTCTGCATATCTTGTTTTCATTCGGACTTTCTTTATTTTTTCCCCCTTTATAATCTGTCCTAACCTTTCTATTATTTTTCAAATCCCGCCTTCTTCTTCTTTTTCTTGTTTTCAACACCCATTCTTTTCTCTTTTCGCAACACTTTCTCAGGATCCCTGCAACTCGCCTCAAAAAAGAGGAAAAAGAAGGCGTGCAAAGCTCATCACTAATGAAGGTCTGCTTCTCCCTTTGGGATCTCTTTCTGTTTACCTTTAATGGGTTTCCAGTTCTTCATTTGCTTTTAATTTGGTCTCATTTTCTCTGTTTGTTATATTTTGTCGTGGGTTTGAAGAGAATCGTAAGGCTTTGTTCTTGAACTCGGTTTATATTATTATTATAAGGTGACTTTAATGGACCCTAAAAACCAATGGTGTCTCTTTCACCGATTTTTTTTTATTTTTTAATATATCCGGCTATAATAAAATATAAATTCTGGGTTTTGCTTGTGGGCTGTAATTTTTTTCTATGAATCCATGGGATCTTTGGTTTTTTACAATCATATTTGGTGATCCAATTAAAATAATGACTAATTTTGTAATGCTTACTGAAACTGATCTCTTTTTGTTAATGCAGAAGATTGTGCTGAAGCTGGATTTGCATGACGACAAAGCCAAGCATAAGGCTTTCAAAACAGTCTCAACTCTTTCAGGTACATACATGATCTTTATTGTTATGCATTTACTTCTAGTAAAACACAGAAAATTATGGGACTTGTTAATTGCGTTGATATTTGTTTAAAAAACCCTCTTCTGTTAATGACTTGGGGATCTTGATGACAACAAATTCTTTATCTCGTCAGTGATTGATTCTTAATTCCCGTGATTTCTACATGTTATGTTGTTCTTTTGAGCTGGCCATGTTGATTAGCAAGTTTTCTCATTGCCTTGCCTGGTAGGAATTGACTCCATTGCCATGAATATGAAAGCGAAGCAATTGACGGTGATCGGAACGGTTGATGTTGTGAACGTGGTGAGCAAATTACGCAAGAACTGGTCGACCAGTATAGTATCGGTCGGGCCAGCGAAGGTGCCGGAGAAGAAGGAAGAGCCAAAGAAGGAGGAGCCAAAGAAGGAAGAGCCAAAGAAAGAAGAGGAACCCAAAAAGGAAGAGGAGCCAAAGAAGGAAGAACCGAAAAAGGAAGAAGAGCCGAAGAAGGAAGAAGATCCGAAGAAGGAAGAAGAGCCGAAGAAGGAAGAGGAGCCTAAGAAGGAAGAGGAGCCGAAGAAAGAAGGAGAAGCCAAGAAAGAGGAGGAAGAGGAGAAAACAGCAGCCGCAGGTGGACCCGGTTTTGGAGCTTGTCAAGGCGTACAGAGCATACAATCCACAGATGACCACTTACTACTATGTTCAAAGCATGGAAGAGAATCCAAATGCTTGTGTTATTTGTTAAAGGCAAACCAAGGAAAAGAGTCTGTGTATATAGATGGATGGTGATGGTGACCTGGTAATGTAATCCGTTTTGGTTTTAATGTAATAGTTAAGGTGTTGTAGAGTGAATAAATGGAAACTTTGAACTTGTTTTGAGTTTTGATCAACCATCTCTCATTTCTGCAATTTCTTGTGATTCTTTTGAATCCAATTCAGTTTGCTCGTGTAAATTTATGTATAGAAAAATGCAAACTTTTCATTTGATCTCTTAAAAAGTTATTGCCTTTTTGAATCTCGTGTTCTTCCATTACTGTTTTTGACATTTTTATTTATAAATCTACATTAAATATAAGGTAATATTCGTTTAAATACTTTCTGACAATATACAATATTTAAACTATATGACAATGTGATAAGCTAAGCTGATTAATTTAGCCTGAAGAAAAAAAATTAACACACACAAATGACTATCTTGATGCATGAAGACTACATCATGGACTAGCCCAACTCATGTAATCAAAATTGCAAAAAAAAACATGTGCCCCTATGTATATTTGGAGGGTAAATTATACCCATGATCACTTAATTATAGGTTTAGTATCAAATAAGTTTTTCTTAATTACAAACAAGTCACTTTGTTATCAAAATTAAAATATACATCTAGTGTGGCCTTGTATAATAACATTTTTAGTCCCCAAAACTTATATATTCTATTATTTTTTCTAATTTGAAATAATTTAATAAATTTAATCATTTATATGAGAATTTTTAAATATAAAGGGTTAAAATTATTAAATTAATATGAGAATAAAATTTATGGGAGAAGGACAAGCAATTTATGAGAATAACAAAGACTAAAATGATAAAATCGTTATATGTAAAGGGTTAAATTTAATAAATGATTTCAAATAAAAATAATTTCTTAAACTTTATAAAGTGTAAGTATTAAAATTGTTATTATATCATACCAATTTATTATTTGGTCTAATATTGAGTGGCATGTTGCAACGATATTTTAATTGAGTAACCTATTTATAATTTTTAGAGAGAGAAAATGACATGTTTGTTACCAAACTCACATTTAAGTGATGTTGTCTGTAGTTTACATTATTTGAAAAAGAATCATTTTTGGCTTAATGTAAAATTTACCCCTCCATTATACATATCTTTTCACTATAGAGCCTTAACTTTTTCCCCAACTTGCCTACTAAACATCATTTTCATCCTAGCTAATCCTAAAATGGAAAAAATACAATAAATAATAATATAACACGTGGCACATTATCATTAGAATTGGAGTAAAATGGGACAGAAATGATAGCTTAGGGATAAATCTAGACAAAAAATTAAGGTCTAAAGTGAAAGCACAAAAATAGTTTAGAGGCTAGTTTGCCAATTAGACCTCTTCTTCCAATTTACATCTTATAAATAAAAATATAAAATCAACACTTATAATAGCACGCGCATATATATAAGATTTAAGGGTGCTTTATAAAGAAAAAGTGTGCGATTTTTTTTTTTTGTATTTTTAAAGAAAAATAATAATTAAATTTATGAACTATTTTACATTCAATGAAAATTTTTAAAGTTATAAAATTAATTATTATTAGAATATATCAAATGACATTATCAAAAAGTCTTTGTGTATGCATAAAATTCCCGTTGGGAGACTCAACCATCAAAATCAGGTGTAAGATTCGTGTTAGTTCAGATTAATCAAGACAAAAATTGGAATTGGAGGACAATTAAAAAAGTGTCACATGACAAAAATAAAATTTTTTAAATATAAGAAAATCTTGAACATTTAAAAAACTCTGATTTTTTTAATGAAAATATATTTTAACAAATTTAGTTATAAAAATGATTTTATAACATTTAGAATTTTAATAATATTTAATATTTGTATATTTTTAAATATTTTTTCAAGAATTTCAAATTTTTAAAATTTATAAACATTATATATGTTTTAATCTTTAAAATAAAATATATTCTGAAATATCATGCACTGCTGTAAAACGATATATAATTTTAATTAATAAAAAATAGATAAATTTAATTACCAAGTATCTACATCGATTAAATGAGTAAATTGGTTAAAAATAATATTAAAAATAGAATTAAAAAATCTATTATTAATTTATGGGAAACTATCACCATCCAACTCTTAGGCCTAACCTGTATATAAAAAGTAAATAAATAAGCCAAGTCTCGGGCCTAATCTATCTTCGTCATTGATGTTGTGGATCGGTGACAAAGCAGAAAGTCGTGTGGACATTAAACTTCTAAACAATTATTAATCTATTATCATTATCTTAATCACTATCTTTTATAAATTTTAAATCTAATCCTAATCCTATTTAAAATAAAAAATGAACTTAAATATTATGAAACAAAGATACTTAACAGACTAAACGTACATTATATGCCTTAAATAATGTCTCTATTTAAATTTTATTTATTTATTTTTTAATAAAATAATAAAATTACAATTCGTAATATAGTATATGTGTCGATATTATGCTTTTATCAGTAATTTTGTTACTACAAGCAAATATAGTTCAAGTGTTCAAGTAATTCGATTACTCGTTTATAAAAAAGGGACAGATTTATTATATTTATAATTAAAGTTATTTATTTAAATTAGATTAATGAAATTAAATTATTTTTAATAATCTTATTTATTTAGATAAAATGTCATAATCGAGTCATGTACCATTGCACGCCCTAATTGTGCTTATCCGGACAATTTTATATCCACCACCGAACCCCACATTAAATTTAATGCATATTATTTTATAATTGCTTACGTAATCTGCGTTCCACCTGATAATCTTTTCAAAAAATCATTAATTAAATTGTTAAATCAAACCCTGTAAATAATTAAACCCGTAATAATCTAGCCGATCTATGTATAACACTCAAACTAGGTATTTATATTGTACGACAGTTTAATATAAGATTAAAAAAAGATGTTATCGGAAATATTAATATTTTTTAATATTTTCGGTAGAAAACTACTTGAAATGTTATTTTTATTACGGAAAATGTTAATTTTGCTACCTAAAATGAATATTTTTGATATTAAAATTTTCGGTAAAAAATAACATTTTAAGTAACATCATATTAATATTTTCGGTAAAAAAATAACATTTTAGGTAGCACTCTATCGAAAATATTAAAAAAATATTAGACTGTTTTTCCTTAGACATCCGCACTAAAACTGTTTAGTGATCACCACAAAATTTAATTCATAATACAGTGGATAAAAATACTTCAAATTATTTGTAACGATATTTTATATTTTTCATTTATAGTCTGTTTAAACATGCATTGTCTTCTACTTTATAAGTAAGAAGAGATATAAAAATTTTAAATTAAAAATTTATTAAAAATTTACTATTTAAAATAAAAGATAATTCTAATGTCAAGAGAATGTTTACGTTATAAACTAAAGTTAAGAGTTTAATTGAATGCAACGTAACAGTTTAAAAATAAAACTACAAATGAAAAATTATAAGGAAAATAAAATTTTCAATGAGAAAATTTATTTTGTAATACATATTTAAGGACTGGGCTTTACCACAAAACTTTCGATCAATAATGGGCCTTTGCTTTTCCAATATTTAAATATTTTTATCTTTTAGTTTCATTTTATTATTTATATTTAAATTCCGTCAGGTACAAGGATAAATATTTGCCTATCTAATCTTATATAACCCCAACTTATATAATCCTTTGTAGGATACTGATGCTCGAACTTGTATCTCTAGTAACAATAACGATTCCTTTAATCACCGAGATAAATTGGTTCGTTAGTCAACAAATTAAATTATTTTTATTATCTCTAATCAAATACATATTTTTCTTTATCCTTTTAAAACGAAAAAATATTGTTCCTTCTAATATTTTATCAAAGTTTCGTTCTTAGATTTCGTGATTGTACCTCGTAATAAAATTGATTTTAAAATTACGATTTTAGTATCATAATTGAGATAGATATATGATTTATTTGAAAATTTGTAATATTGTATCATAATATTTATTTTTGTTACACTAAACTAAAATAAAATAAGATCATCAAAAGACACCAACACTAAATGGAGATATGTCATATGAAAAAGAAACGTGCGATAAATAGTAAATTTATAAGCAAAAAGAAATAACATCAAAATCGACATGAAATAATTCATACATGACACGAGATTTAAAGTAGTTTTATTTTACATATTGTTTGGGTGAAATAAACAAATAATTCACTATATATGCAAAAATTACGAAGTGCACAATTGATAGAATCTTCTCTATCTCACAGCACAATATATTTATCACAAAACTCTGTATATCCTAAAAAAATTATATTGTTTTTATAAAATCATCTCTACAATATAGACTTCAATAGTTATATAGATCACGAAAAGGATAATTTCTCTAAAATAATAATCTCTCATTTTTTAAAGATTAACATGCTATATATTTATAAGAAAAATAAACTTAATCATCGATAATTATTATTTTATAAAAAATGAACGTGGATGGCTGAAAATGATCGGGGTGTTGTGTGCGATCCAGGTATTATACGAGCCAGGGAAGACAAGGCCATTTGATGTGCGCCACTAGTGGGGTGGCTGAAAATGAATGTGGATGGTGCTCGAAATCCGGCTACGGGTATGACTGCTTATGGTGGTGCTTTGCGAGATTCGGATGGCCCTTGAATTACCGGTTTCACCAAAACGGTAGGACTGTGCTCGGCTTTCGAAGCGGAAGTTTGGGGTATCTACTCGGGGTTGAATCATGCAAGGCAATTTGGAGCTCGTCGAATTGTGATGGAAACAGATTGCAAGGAAGCTTTAAATCTTTTCCAAACAAGGGGTCGATATGGATGGCTCTTCACATATTGTTCCCCAGTGATCTCTTGAGGATGGGGTGTTCGGTTCACACGTGTCGGCCGAGAAGGTAACAAAGTTGCGGATGCAATGGCAAAGGCGGCTTGGAACCAGCCGTTTGGATTGGCCACGTTTGACCAACCTCCTGCAGCAGTTGACTACTTGCTGCACGGGGGAGCTGCTGGAGATTATATTTTCCATTTAGTTTTCTTCTTCCTTTGATTAAAAAAATATCTATTTAATTATCAAATAAAATTAAATCGAATTTAGCCATGGTCGACATGTGG